TTTGGACTTCCTCTCTGAGTATCATTGGCTCTTGTTCATATGGTATCTCTTGAAATGGTTGAACATTAACCATTTCCTTCTGGTAGCTCTTTAATCTATGCTAAATTGGTTTTTGTATATGGTGTGAGATAAAGGTCTTGTTTCAATCCTTTGCATATCGATTTCCAGTTTGCTAGCGCCAACTATTGAAGAGGCTATGTCTTCCCCACTCAGTGTACTTTGGCCCATTGTCAAAGATCAATTGACATATGGATAGGTTAATTTCTGGATTCTCAATTCTGTTCCATTGATCTATGTATTTTTCATTGTACCAGTACCAAGCTCTTTTGACCATGTAGCCATGTAGTAAATTTTGAAATTAAGGAGTGAGAGGCTTCCAACTTTGTTCTTCTTCGAATTAATATATCCTTATCTTTTATGATGTTAGGGAAGTTTCCTTTCACAACTCTTCAACAATATTCTCTGTCCTTTTAATCATCTCTTCCTGTTCTGAAATTTTTTCAGAATTTCCATAAGGTATTCATCTTCCTGGTGTTCTACATAAATCACAGGCCTTTTTCCAATTTATTCATTCTTTTTTCAGTTTGTTATTCTAGCTTACTAGTAATGAAAGATTTATCTCACAAGTCACTAATTCAGGCTTCCCTTGATTTAAATATACTCCTTTGTCCTTTTGATGGATTATCCATTTCTGAGACCTTAGAAGTAATATCTAGTAGCAAATTTTGTATTATTTCAAAATTTGCATTTATTTTGTTTATTTGTTATGGTAATATTTCCCAAATTCTTCTACATTTTTGTCTGTGTCCTTCCTGCTTTCCCTGGTCTTTCTGTCATTCCATTGAAGGTATCTATATATCAAGTATTTTAAATTCTTTCTCGGGCAGTTCCACTGCCTTTTCTTCCTCAAAAATGTTATATGCTTCTGCATCTTGGTCATTTGTTTGAGCCACTCTCTTGTTTCTTCATGTGAATTCAAATCTTCTGTTGTCTCCTAGACATTGTGGTGTCATTGTATTTGTATTAAAATGATGAGTGTATGTTGTGCTGTTAGACTGTCACCAACTGTCTCCTGCTGGGTGTGATCAGAGAATGGAAATGTATACACCGTTTTCTGCTTGTCATTTGCACAGCTCAATTTAGGGTGAGTCTGGCTGACATTGACTGATGTCTATCATTGATCCAGTGGTATACAAGCTGGTATTAACTCGTGTCCAGTGGGTGGAGCTTGAACTCATGTTCAAAGGGTATGGTTGTGGCTGTCTCCCTCTGGGTAGGGCAAGAGGAGAAAATACACAGGAAAACAAAACTGAACAAACAAACCAGCAAACAATAGCAAAAACAGAATATAATAAAGGGTGGAGGGTCAGAGAAAAAGAGGAAGACGCCCAACAAGATAGACTGGCAAAGTGGCAGCATCAGTGGGCTCAAGTATGGCAACAATAGTGAGGTTGGCCCAGGATCAAGCAGTGTTTCAGTCTACTGTGCATAAGGTCGCTATGAGTCGGTACGGACTCGATGGCACCTAACAACAACAACAACAATGTCTAGAATATTGATCTTTATGTATTTTATTCCATTTTTTATGACTTACAATTTCCTTAGATTCATACTTTGTACATTCTATATCCTGATTTTTAATTGATGTTTACAGCTGTTTCTTCTCATTTTGAGTCACGCAAGCCAACACAGTACAACACACTCACAGCCAAGGGATGGTGTTTATTTATAAAAATAAGTGAACACCATATTTCTTGCACATATAGTATGTAATTGTGTGATCACCATTCCCACCTTACAGGTTCATTCACCTATACTGGCATGTCTGTCTTTGTTGATTAGTTTGATGGAAGCAAGGTCACATACAATGGTCAGACTGATCCACATAACCCCTTAGAACAATATGAGCTTATGTTCTGTTTGTGTTTTCAAAGATTTATAGTAGTAAACAAACTATAATTTTCTATGTCATAGTTGCTGAAGATTACCACAGAAGAAAAAAGGAAACGAAACAAGAAAGAGGAGGAGAAAAGAGAACTGACATTTCGTTTTGAGATTCTGATGCATCAAGTACTTTGCTATGGACCATAATACACTTATTACTTCATCTCATAGCAAACCTTTAAGTTACAAATTAGTGTTCCAATCATTTAGGTGGGGGAAAGAAACCCCATCTTCAAATATATAAATATTATCTTGTTATTGTTAAGTGTCATCAGTTGGTTTCAACTTATAGCAACCTGTATAGGGTTTCCAAGGAACAGATAGTGGATTTGAATAGCCAACTTTGTGATTAGCAATTCAGTGCTTATCATATAATACCACACCAGGACTCCATATAAATATTATTGGTGTTTATGTTGTTGTTAAGTGCTGATAAGTCCATTCTGACTCATAGCGACACTGTATAGGGTTTCCGAGGAGCAGCTGGTGAGCTTTAACTGCCGACCTTGCAGTTCAAACAACTTTGCATTCCAGCACATTAACCACAATACCACACTAGGACTCCGAAGTAAAAATAAGGTAAAAAAAAAAAGAGAGATTACCCAGGTGAGGGAAACTATCAATATGATGTCATGGTGAATCCCAAAATTCTACCTCAACATAGTGACCTGTTATAAGGCACAGAGTACAAAGGAATCTCCAACCACAACCAGGACTGACTAACAGCAGCAAGGCATCGCAGATGCACACCTGACCTACAGAAGCAGGAAGGGGGTGATTATAATAGGAAAGATACAGACTGTGTCTGAGATTCCCAGGGTATGAGGTCAGAACCAGGTGACCCTGAAATTATTAAAGCCCTTGATAGGGATTTCCTATTCTTCCTTCACTGCCTGGAGAACATGGCCCAAAAATGACTTCTCAAATATACTGCTTTTATTTTGGCAGTTTAGAAGTCAGAGTTCATTAGGAACTCAAGAAAAATTGGCATCTGAACACTTAAATGTGGTCATAAGCTTTGCCTGGCTAGAGTCATCCACAGACAAAAAGCCTTCAGATTCCAAGCTATGAAATATAATTTTATAAGTAATAGATGTCAGACATTTGTCCAGTGCACACTATAAACCTATAATATGAAAATGCTGATTCCAGTGTGATGGTGGTGTTAGTCCTTACAAAACAAAAGGATATGCAAGTTATACATTAAAATACTTGAGATTTCAATTCTGCCAGAAAGGGATTCTATAGCATAAGCACTGGACTTTCAAACACCAGGTCGGCAGTTCAAACCCACCAGCAGCTCCTTGGAAAGCCTGAGTCAGAACTGCCTCCATGACACTTAAAAACAACAAAGTAAAATAAGATAATCTCATTATTTCTTATTATTTGTAGTGATCCTCAAAGTTTGCAAATAAATTGCTGGGGGAAAGAGCAAGACTCTCTAACTGGGTTCCCCATACATTTGGTTCCCAGATCTCCTTGCTCCCCTGGATCATCCTTCTCTGTCTCTCAAGACCCATATCCCTGACATTCAGCAGAAACACCCTGAAGCAGAGAAATGGAATGTTACATAGGCACAGAACACACACAATATTTACGGGTTTGCTAGATAGCCTTTGCCATACCCCTGTCCCCTCCCCTACTAGAGGGTTGACATGATCTCAAAATCAGGGACAAACTCAATTAATTGTTTACTTTTTTAAATGGCTAAAAATAAACACAATCCTTACTGAAATCTTTCAAAGAGGTATCAAGGTGTTGATTACATTTTGTGTACCCAAATGACCTGCACACTATCTGTCTACTCTCTAAATAGAACCACGAAAACTTGGGCCTCTCTTTGGCCATTGTGGTCCCTCTAACACTTCCACAAGGTGACTCTCCCACAGTCTCTTTTGCATTTCAGAGCTTCACCACCTATTCTTTTCTTCCCTGATTTGCTTTCCATCTTTCCCTTGTAAACAATTGTAACTTCCTAAGGTTTTCTCTATTGCAATATTTACTCATTACCCATAATTAGCCCAATCTTGGACTCTGAGCTCATTAAGCAAATACAGAATTCTTCTAAGAGGGGAGACCATGGCTGTGAGCTTCTGTTACACATATGCATATACATAATTGGTTTTATATTTTCACGCCAAACCAGGAGTCCATCTATAAACACTTAGGGGTATTTGAACCCCAGATTCAGAACACTGCTGAAGCAACTATTTCTTCAGCAACCAGCAGGCAATCAGAACATGAGGAACAGAAGATCAATATATGAAGACCAAGAAGAAATAGGAAAACCAGAACCAGAAAGATAGGATTCTCATGTCAGAGAGTTCTAGAACCAAGGACTCCTGAAACAAAATCTGACTCCTGGACTGGCTGGTGTCATTTCTGAACCCTGAAATCCTGCCATACCTGATCTACACAGTCATTACCTGACTCTGATCATTCCTGAAAACTGAGCTCTCCATTGTCACTGTGAGCAAAAACAACTGCTTCAGAGGGTACTGATAACCCCAATAATGGCCTGCAGCGAAAAAAAAAAAAAAATTACCTGGATAAGGCAAGTCACTGCAGTCTTAGGCTACAAAAGTGACATGGAGTTCAGGGATGCCAGTCTTACCCTGGCATGGGGACCACTGATAGAGGAGGGGACAGGCTAAAGGCAGATGTGTGAAGTAAGGCCACAAAAAAGTTGAATCACTTACCTGCATACAGCTGGGCCTTTCTCCAGGCTGAAAGAGGACATACCCTAGTGAGACTACAGCCATGAACAGCATGAATCTGCAGGCCACCCGCCACCCCTCTGTTCTAAAGGTGTGACTATGCAGAGCAAGACAGATGGTGGAAAAGAGATGATGATCTGTCAAACGCAGAGCTAGACAGGGATGGTAGGAAATTTCCATGAACACAGGTCAGGAATCCTGAATTACATTTCAAGTTCAAGTAGCCTTACTGCTGTTGTGGGACTTTTGGCAAGTCAATTACCTGTTCTCTTCCTCAATAATCTCAAAAACTCCTATTCTGCCTGTATTCACTAATAATCAAAAGTACATATGAAGTCAGTGACATAGCCACCAAGGACTAGAGTGGAGAGTGAAGCATCCTGCTGATAAGAAGAGAGTGCACAGTCATAAGAAAATCCACACTTGCAGATAATACCCACTCCACTTGACCTGGCTTCAATGACTGGATGACCAGAGCTTAACTAGAAGAAAAAAGAGGGAAAAAAGAATAATCTGATACAATTTAATGAACTTGGCCTGCACCTAAGGATGCAGTAGCTCAAAAGAGAGAAAAAATCTTTACAGGGAGGATCATTCCCACTCCGTCAATACACAGAGAAGAAATGGATGGGCAACTTGGACATTGGCTATCCAAAATTGGGGGCTGCAAAGGCAAGAAGTGACTGGCTTACAAGCTTTCAAGAGGGAGCCTAGATCCAGAGGGCTCAGAAGAAAGCAGAATCTCCACTGAGTAGTATCCAATCTGTCTGGGTGGGGTCAATGAAAAGAGATAGGGATAGATCCTTTGTGATACAATGGTGAATATTTGTTATCAGGACTGACTGCAAGGGTTGGAAATGTAAAGGTGGATGTTTTGTAGCAAAAGGAGGGGAGTGAGAAAAATAAATAAATAAATAAATAAAAAAGATGGCGGATCAGGTGGAAGTGTAGTGAGGAGCTCTGCCGAGAACAACACAGAATAAAGGACCAAGAAGGCTGAGGGAATGGTCCCAGTACTCTAAACCACATATAAAGGAATATCTAAAAGGTTGGAAGACTTACAGCTGGGAGTTTGTGGCAGAAGCAAGAAATCCATTGCTTCCTGGTTCGGGATGCTCAGCTGCTCCAGGAGCTGCCATTTTGTGTGGGGCCAAGCGGGGAAAGGATGAGAGCAGCCACGGACGCCTGACAGAGCCGCAGAGATAGAGGTGTGGACATTCTTTTTTTTTTTGGGTATCTTTTCATTG